ACTTTTACGGAGTTCACTCCGGGTGTCTCTGATTTTCCGTTCCCAAAAAATTTCACACCAAATTAGAAATGAATTCCCCTATATTTATTCATATGTAAAGGAGTTTATTTCTAATTGGGTACGAAAATTTTCGGGGACGAAGTGGCTTTGTTATGGAAAAAATTCCAGCAATTTTGGCACAATCCCACTTTGTCATATGAAGGTACCTAAAGGTTATCCAAGCCGCCGCCTCTTTGAAGTACGCTATACTTTTAAGTCACTTGTGTCCTATAAAAAAGGATGTTTGAGATAAAGGCCCCTGAAATTGTAGTAGAAATAAATAGTAAGGTTTAAAGAATTAGACGCAGTATTTTACCTCTTTTTCTCCTCGTCATTCCTTCCTATTTAAGTTCAGTGTTCGCTGCTTTTTAAGTAATATTTTTTAAGTGTTCTTGTCTAGTAAGAGACTGTATTTTCCCTATAATTTCATGAGCGTCTATCTCCGCTAACTTTTCGTTCACAGTCGATTTTCTTTACATCTTAAACTGCTTTGAACGTAGATTACAATAATCAAAACAACTACGATATATGGGCATTTAACAAAGTTATTAAAGTTAAACTATAAAAAAGTATATGTAAAAATTAAAATTACTCTCGCATTTCGGCTGAAAAAGGGAATGAAAGCAAGAAATTGTAAACTTAAGGAGATAAACACCAACAGACAATGTAAAGTAGGTTACAAGTCATGAACACGAGTAATTTAAAAGTTCAGCACCTTAAGGAGTTGGCTCGGATAACCTTCAAAAAAGTGGCATTGCGCCGAAGCCGCTGAAATTTTTTCCATAAGAAAGGATATTTCGTCCCAAAAAATTTCACAATAAATTAGAAATGAACTCCTATATATATCTTTGATAGCTGAACGGCAAATGGATGGTTTTGGGACGGCCTTTACAGATTCCTGGTTAAAAACTACCCTTCATATGTAACAACTGCAATCAAAAGGTGCTTAAGGACTCTGATGCAGGAAAAATCCAAAAAATTGGTTATTGTGATGACCACGTGAGTAGCAGTTATAAATCAATGAATTTGCATCTTAGAAGTTGAGTGCCTGTGGTTTGCTTAAGGTTCAAAGAAAATTGAGCCGTAAATTTTACATGGAATGACTCATACACACACTCCACATCATAAACTTCCGGGTTACAGAGATGAATTTTTGAAAAATTCCCCTTGAAGTAAATTTAATCGTTATTGCTGATTTATTTCGTTTTTTGTAAGCCGCCAACCATTTTTCTATAACCGTGGGAAACGATTTATCAGAAATTAAAAGTCATTAAAGGTCACTATTATTTAACGGAACTATGGAAATGATTGTACTCCGCACAAACTGTATTTCTGGGCTTTTACACGGCTGGCATTCCTGCAAAATTACTTTTTAAGGAAATTCAGAAGTGCTAGCGATTCAGCCAGAACGGAGAAATTCAAATAAGAGGCCGTCAAAGTATGCAGTTTGACACAGAATTGCCTATTTAAATGACAAATCCAAATACAGTCATATTAAAACACTTTCGCCTTGATTTTACGTTTCACTCTTCAGTTGTTCTCTGAACCATAACCTTGCAGTGCTGGAAACTTTTGCTGTAAGCAAACATTTAATTTCACAAATACGCGATGGGTGGTGTATGAATGTGCCGTTTCACAGCATTGTACACTGCTGCTCAATAACCAAAATTTAGGATTCATTAGATCAGGCGCTCAATAAAAACACAGAATTTATGTGTCTGAATGATCTCGTAGATCATGCCAATTTAGAGAGCAAAACCAATCATTTCCTGGACGTCTGCGAAAGAAACTACAACACGATCCCTTAAAAGCTACGATACTACAAAACCATTAACAGACATAACATTTAGAAACAAGGGCATATTTCTTCTTTCAAAGAACGGAGCACCATCATCTTTGAACCAGAAACACTGTAGTGACTGGCACTCACCATCGTCATCTGGCCGACATTAAAAACCATAAAGTTTTAAAAATCAAAGTGCAATCTGAAAGTGGTCGTTACTTCAGCACATTTATGCGGAAAGGATAAATGGAATTAATCGTTCATCATTTCTACTCAGCATCAATCTCGGCATTTTACGTTAAGATGCCTGACTAACAAATTTCTCAGTACTTCAAACGCCTTTATTTCTTACTAGTTCCAAGTTTCCAAAACCGCTTTTCTTCCTAGAGACTGGGCTATCGTTCCAAGCCAAACGTCTGCATTCTGTGTTTGACAAGGAGATGGATTTCTTTTAAACTGTTTACTGAAAGCGAAATGATGTCATCCTAAAAATTTGAAATAGTTTTGGACTGCTTTCTTTCACATAGCAAACGAAACTACTGGAGTTGTAGGACTTTGAAATAACGCCACAAACAGAAATAGAGGCTATAAAGCAAAAAAAAAAAGAATTCTTTTTGCCATTCTCTTTCTTTATGGTTCAATAACTGTTCACAGTGACTCTCCTGGTCGGTCTGTCACCAAAGTTTACTGCCACGCAGGTCTCCAATATTTAATAACAAGACGTTTATTTCGAGATCGACAATACAACACGCAAATTAATCTCAAACTTGGGTAGTTGAACCTTTTTATATAATATACAAGAACAATATAAAAAACGGCAAGTCCTCAATATAGGCAAAACCAGTAACCAATTCAAAATAAAAGAAAATCAACATAAAACAAAAGGTATCACTGCTTCATTGCTCCTGTCGTCGTGTGTGGACCTTCTATACAATCTGCTCCAGCGGGTTATCATCCTCCGTTTTATCTTCTTTCTCGCCGGATTTGAAGCTGACGATGTCGGGGCTGGAATTTCTTCTTTGAACCTTCCTGATAATTCTTCTCAGCTGCTCCCGGGATTTCCGGGAGTGTCTTATCTTCACCTTTTGACGACAGAGGCCTTTGCAGTTACCAGACGATCTGCTCACAAATCGAACTGTATGTTAGGGGCAGCGGATATTGGTGCAAGTTATACTTTTTTTCGCAAAATAAAACGTTAGAATATGGGGCACAAAAAACTAATCATAGAGAGTAAGAAAGAATTCGTACTATCTTCTTAGTAAGTTTACACGTTTCGTAAGTAAAAAACGCTGAATTTTCCTGGTTATCATTCGTTTTTCACAAGCTATTCAGAAAATATGTTGTTTTGGATTTATGTGAAAAGTCTTAGTTTGTTGACGGTAACACATTTTTAAAGCATACAATTTGCAGATCATCTTTATGAATTTGTATTGAGTTTGAATGGCAAGAAACTAATCTTCTGATCATAAATTTCATACCAGAACATAAAAAACTATTCAAGTTGCACGTATGAATATAAATTTCCTTTGTGTAAGGCTTAACCCTTCTGAAAAACAATGTACCGCCGCGAAAATACCTCTTTGAGAGCGACTGAAAAAACTACAGATGATGTTTTCAGAGGCTAGTAGTCCGATTGACGGGTAAAAAGCTAGGGCGATAAAAATATCGGAAACAAACTGTCGAAGGATGAAAAACTTTTCCGTTGGAGTTTGAAAGAAAGTTAAGAATGACGACGCAGTAGAGGACGATGGCAGAACATTTAATTCAACGCTGGTCTGTATAATCTGTCCACGACACCTGTAGGGATGCGAAAATTAAAGCAAATTTAAAAGGGATTTCTTTTTAGCTAAGAAAAATTGATTTACCCATTGACCAAAATCTTTGTAAAAAAAGAAACACTCGTTTCAACATTTAATGCTTTCCACAATGACGTCAATGATTCCGAGGCCTTTCCACAACTTTACAACGATTCTTTCGAATTTTCTGGAAGACAACAAAAAGCCAAAAGTGCAACTTTTAGCGACGGTCTCACCGCGACCAGTCAACGATTTTCCACTGCCCTTGTACTTTTAAAAATCTTTCCCAGTGAACTTCCAAAGTTCTAAATTCCCTTCCTTCGTAAAACTTTTGTGTGCGTGGCACTGCCATGAAATACCATACCATCTTGTTACTGTATCACTCGTTAAAGTTTTTTAAGCAATATCTGATGGTCAAAAATACACAGAATTCAGTGGCAGAAACACTTGAGGATCGTTATCGACGTGCAGCCAAAAAAAAAAAAACTGTTGCATTAAAAATCCAAGAAACTCCCACTCAGCTTCATTTTACTAGGACTAATTGTAAGCCAAAAGCGCTCAATTAATAACTCTTCGATACCTGCAGACCCTAAAACAACTATACAGTAAAACTGCGGAAACTAATATCTCATTTTTTGTCAGCAAATAAGTGAACACTCATTACACACTTTAAAACGCTTAGGCCAACGAGAGCCTCCATGGTGAAACTGCAACCAGTAAAACGAATACAACATTCAGCGTTTGAAAACTAGTGTCCACATTTTTTGCAGCGAACCTCATGCATCAAAACTGCTAAAAAAAATATGCTGCTTCTGGACGTCTTCTTTCTGTAATTGACTTTATCACGAGAAAAATGCAATGGAAATCACAAACGATGACAGAGATCGGAGGTTTCAAATCGCATTAAAAAAATACAGTAAAGCGAATTTTGAAAAGATGACCAGATTCATTTATGAAGCGCTATAAAACAGATGCTGACTACAGACTATTAATGTTAAAACTCCAAAACAAACCCTACGTCTTAATTTAAGAAAGTAGAGATGAAAATTGACAAAAGCCGAGATGCAGCAACACAATAAAAAAAAAAAAAGTCAAACTACCCAACATTCATCAAATGACCAATGACCAGATCTATTGTTCACATATTTGTTTCAGAAAAATGCAGGACTGATATAAGTGTCAAGGATGCTAAAAAACAGAAGCCGCATACAGGATAGTGCGAAGCGGTTTAAAAGGAAAATTTACAGTCTACAGAACCTAAATAGGCGAAATCAGTAAAACCAATAATCGACATACGAGTATATATTATTAGTGCGTGACGATGGAGAATATACAATAAATTAGTAAGGAAATTAGAACGTACTTCAAAAATTTAACCCTCATTACTTTTCTATGAGTGACAACGCTAAAACACGTTCTAACTCTTCGTCTTGCTCACGTTGTAATCGTGCCCTTTCCTCTTCTTCCTTCTTAGAAAGCTGTAGGGCCTTATTTAATTCCTCATCCTGAAAATTCTACATCTCCCTCAAAACCTTCGAATGCGCCTGGATAAGTAACTTAGAAGAAAACTGACCTGAGAAAGATTAGAATAAGATAAAACGTTTTGACCAGCTCCAGGCTGCAAACTTCGCAAACTCTCTGCTATAGCGAATGCCAATTCGGGATCCATATCACCTTCAGCATTATTACACACAACAGCAGAAATTTCTCCACTACTGTTGGGTGCAAGACCGGCGGCTTCCCGCATACTTTGTTCAAGAGCAAATTGCAAATAAAGCTCGTCTTCTGGTATATCTAAATTAAAACAAGGCATTAAAATGTACCACACACCCGGCATGTACACCCATCATCTAAATCAGCTTACATCTTCTCGACGGAATATAACCGTTCGCCGGAGCGTATCCTGCAGCTCCCTCGTAAATCCCCGAAAAAGCTTCGTTTAACTCAGACCGGTAATGGATCGGAATGTCGAATGTCTTGTTCTCAAAAGTGATCTAAAGCAAATATTAAATAAACTGGCGAGACGACCAAATTCCTGTAAGAAGACGGTAAAAAAGCAAAATAAAAATTCAAAAAAACCAATTCGCTTAAAACCAATAGTACCGTATTCTCCGGCTCTTTGACAAACACCTGTGGTCCAGGTTTATTGATGTTTGAAAATGTTATTCGGGCACTGACTAAATGAAACAGTGGAATTTCAATCTTAACCGGGAACCCCGCCGGCAACTGGAGCTGAATAAAATTTTTCAATCGAGCGAAATGCGTATTACTAACTGCCATTAAATCAACAATTGGCAAGATCTGTTCCTGAAAATAAAAAACATGTTTTTGTTTCATAACTTGTATAAACCTTATTTAAAAAAATACCTGTAAACTAAGTGGAAATTCATCGCATAACCATAACGTTGCTTTAAAAGAGTTACACTTCCGAGTTACCTAAAATAAAAAAGTTGCTGCAGCTTGCCGTTTCATTAATCAGTAGAGCACTATGACGCTATAACTGGCCATTTCATATCATCAAAAAAATTACTTGCTTTGGATGACCAATATCTCGATCTTCCATTGAGAAATCTTCATCTAAGTACTGAGCTGGTGTTAAACCACAGTAAACATCATTGCCAGTCCGCTTCATCTCAGCTGTGAACTCTTCCGTTTTTTCTACAAGCCTTAGTACTTTGCTCAACGAATCGTTGTTCTCCTCCTGTTTACATCTAAACACGAAGTCCGGAGTGGGTAACAGCATAAACAAATTAAAAAAAGCCATCTTAAAAGATAAATATCGAGATCTACAGAGCACCCATACAAACCGTTCTTTATCTTCCTCGAGTAAATGTTCAACTCTTCTTTTCGTTATAATTTCTACGTTACTAGCAGTAAACACCTGAAATTACTAAGTATGACAAGAAAATAAGAGATTTAGTAGTTGCGGCGCTAAAAATTAAAAAATTGTCTTAGTATGAACTGAAACTACAGCGACTTCCATTTATTTAAGATCATAAAACTATCTTTAATTACAAAATTACTGTTCCTGATGTTCGTTAGGGGTGTATCCAACTCAAAATAAAGTAACTTAATTAAAAAACTACCTTACACTGATAACCATTAACTTCGTCATGACCATCACAGGGCGAAAACCATGCACGAAGACCTCCAGCTTTTGACCTTTCAAAACTAAATGAGATTTATCTTTTATCATATATGAAAAGTTTTGGCTGACAACGTAAAACTGGTTCTAAATAAAGCTAATCAGCAACAAAAAAAAAAGAATAATAATAATAATAATTACCCTATTTTTTCAATATCGACAAAAGTAGTTTCAACTGGAGAAGTCATTCTCGAATAAACAGCATCCTCTCTCGGTTCAAAGTCTTCTAACTTTTCTTCGGTACCAGAACTCACAACCCTCGTACTGACCTGGGAAAAAGCTGCATTAAGCATACAGATACAGGTAGCATAAAGATAGATTAATCACAATACAAGTAAAAAATAATACTATAGGTTGAGAAGTGAGCGAACTACTACATATAACAAGTGAAATGCACCGTCTGTAAATCGTGGTCGACCACACTGAACTGAATGTGATTATCAGCGGTAAAGCGAAAAATAAATGATTGATTACCACGTTTCCAAGTAGACGCTGAGTCAAAACCAACTAAGGTCGTGTCAATCCTCACATCTGAACCACGTTTGTAGATCTGAAGATGAAAACCCAACCTTGCAAAAAACGAAAAGTAAAGAACAATGTGGAGACAAGCAGTTTTAACACATATCATATGAAACTCGTACTGTGCCTTTATAACTTTTGAATAAATTCATACGGGATAAGATTCACTTATCAAAAAAGAAAACTGGGAAAAAAAGTTCAAATCACGTACTTTATACGTATCTGACGGACACATTTTGCTAACAAATGGTAGCCAGCTTGAAAACTCCCAGCTCATTTCTGCATAAAAATCGTTTGTTTCCTAGAAAAGAAATGAAGGAACTCAAAATTACTTGTAATTTAAGCGAGAAAAGTTAATGAAAAATAACCTTAAGCAACTTCAGCAACCGTTCCATGGCTCGATTTAAATTTACTGCCCTTTGAAAGTCTCGGTACTGTAAAATTAGTTTTAAGAGATCAGCATCTCCAGAACAAATCGCTTCATGGCTGAGAGACCACATATCTGCAATACCTCACAAATGAAATATCTTTCTCGGAAAACTGACACATTATGCTCTGTATCATACTTGGAAACAACCAACACAGTGCTACGGATCTGAATATAATTTAAGGTTTTAATAGAAAGTGAATGCTTCAACGATATTGATGTAATTTCTTTCTATCCCTACCAAACGCACTAACTAAAAAGCTGTAAAAAAAAAGCTTCAAATGAACTACCCGCATTCTGCACAGTAGCATCAGCTCCTTTTTCTAAAAGTGCTTTGGCGCATTCCGAATGGCCTAGGGTCACGGCTAACATCAAAGGCGTCCTCCCTAAATAACAGAAATAGCGTTATCAGCATACAGCTTCAAAATTAATTCTTCCTTATTGAGCATCCATAAGCACCGCAAAGTTTCAAATTAATAAAGGTCACCTCTAACGTCAACTTTATTGATGTCGGCAGTTGAAGCATCTTCTAAAAATTCAAGAAGTTCCTCATAATCTCTTCTAAACACTGCCCAGTGCAAGGGATATTCCCTTTTCAGTTCCTCGCCTTTACCCATAAACTAAATTCAATACATGTAATCAACGGTGTCTGAAAGCTGTACTGGTAGAAGACGGATATTTAATCAATAAACAGTCACATATGTGTCCACGGATTCATTATTAAATTCTGTTTGAATACAAACTACGCAAGAAATTCGACAAGTTGACAACATTCCAAAACGAGTTTTGACACACGTAAAAAAAATTCCGATTACGTGTTGTTCGCCAGCCTCTCCATCTGTAGCTTGCGTATGATCCCCCCCAAGTTTTCGTCGTTTTCAAGTTTCCAAAATCCCCGGTTTTCGAGTATGAGTGTTACATTTTTGGCACCTAGTAAGATTGTCTGTGAGTGAGTACGACTTAATGTACTTTTATGCGCATTATTTCTGTCCCGGGGAATACTAAATAGTATGGTTCTACTGGAAGGCTAACAATGGCAACGCTTTCAGATGTTACTTTTGAAAACAGAAAAATGTCGCTAAATTTCGCTGTCAAGGTTTAATTTACTGCTAGATTCTTCTGATACAGTATGCTTTTATCTTTTGTTCTCACTTGTCTCTTCTTGTTGTAGCTCCCGTGTGATAATTGATGTAGAGAATCTATTTGTAAATTTTTTTCGTGCTTTTGCCAGTAAAATACAAAAGGAAATTTTTCCACTTTTTGCCAAGCATTAATCCTTTATATCTGAGCATACGATTTTTTCATGTTCTGTACTGATGTTGTTCTCTATCATTTATGCTACCTAAATAAACAACTTTTTTTTCAGCATATTATTACATCTGCAAGTAAGTTGTCAAAATTAACATGTTTTCAGAAAACATTCAAAGAAAGAGAGGTATGCCAG